TACCTCACTTCAGGATCTGAGATTCTTCTGGCTACCCTGGCGGGGGTCCAGTTGGCCAGGCCCTGGTTCTGGGCTCAGGAGACAGCAGGAAGGCTCAGGACTGGATGGGGGAATTTATCTGCCCCTTTCCTAGGGATGCCCAAGGAACTGGGTGCAGGACCCTGAGGTGTGTGCTGTGTTGTGATCAAGGATTTGGGTGAGCCCCAGCTGCTCAGGGGACAGGGGTCTGAGAAGTCCTAGCTCTCACCTGGTGTGAGCAGGGCCAGAGCTGAGGGGCGGCTGCTTTGTGCCTCAGACTGGTCTCCTTCCTCCTCATGGTACTAAAGCCTTTTCAGCTCACAAAGCATTTTCACATCTTCATCTCATTTCACATCTGCCTTAGCTAGGGAGGGGCAGTCCTGTCCTTATTTGACAGAGGGAAATTGAGGCTCAGAAAGTCCTCGCCGAGATCATAGGCTGATAAGATGGTTATAGAGTGGGCAGGGGCGGTTGCGCTGGTCTGGTGGGAGAGAGGCTGTTGTTGATAAAAACCAGCATGTATGATAAAATTCTATTGGCATAAGATTATACAGTGTGTGTTGGCAGGAAGAAAAAGAAATAAGTGCTAAGCCTGCCCTCTCTGCCCCAGAGCAAAGGTGATGGATGGCAGACACAGTAAAGTGTCACAGTAAAAGGCTGTGTGAGCCGTCGGGACAGCCAGGCTCAAGGAGCCAGAGTGGGTGCAGGAAAATTGTCTCAGCTTTGCTGGTATTTTTCCTGCAGCAGGTGGGTGGGAACCCAGCCAGTGTGGCTCCTGGAATAAATCGAGCATCAACAATGGTCTCTCCAGCTCCACTCATGTGCAGAGCTGCTCACGGCTCCCCCAGGACCTCCTCCTGCTCCTCCTGAGTTCCCCATTGGCCTCCCCTGCCCTGGGCCTGCCCTTTGCCTCATCCCCTCCTGCACCTGCCTTCCCCCAGCCTCTGCCCCTCCTCCACATCTGCTGTGCTTGGCTGGGCTGAGCAGAGGACAGTTTCTTAGTCACTTCTGTTGGGTCACAGGTGAAAAGCTATAGGGCCTGCATGCTTCCCCTCCTCCACTTGCTTTTCCAAGTATCGGTTGGCTGGAGAACCAACAGCAGGAAGTTGGAGAGAAAGGGAAGGATGGTCTGGCCATCTGGCTAACTCCCTTCTGTAATCAGAAAGCTTGCTGACGACTGGGCCAACAGATAAGGAATATCCGGGTAAGGAGCCTTCAATTTTGGAGTGCCCATCACATCTTGGGTGAGCTCCCAGCCCTCTCTGGGCCTCAGTTTACCCATTTGTGCAAAGGCAAAAAGATTCCTTGCCCTGCTTACTGACAGAGAGGCTGTGATGAAGTCATTGCAGGAAAGCACTTATTGTCAATCTTGAAGGGTAGTTATCTCTGTTCTTCAGCCCACAGGCCTCAGTGTGTACTGTTCCTTAGAGCCTTGTAAGGTAAATCCAGGGAGGCGTGGTCCATCCAGAAACCATCCCTGTTTGTGTTGGTGTGTGTTCCTTTGTGTGTGTGTGTGGGAGGTGTGTGGGAGTGGGGAAGGGTGCTGGGAACATGGAGAATGACTTCTGCATTATCGAGCACCTTGAGCATTAACTAAGTACCTACTATGTGTCAACCCCAGTGTGGAGGACCGAGGTTGAATAATGCATTGCTTTTGTCTTCCAGGAGCCCCGAGTCTCATAGGGGAGACAGATGTATTTACAGTCAATCACAGTACAAGACCTCAACTCTCCCATTTTGCTAGATTGTCTCACCACCCTTGTGCTTCATCGGGTGTCTCAAGTGCCTCTCACGTTTCGAGGGCTCACAGATGGATTCACCCCAAATCACGAATACTTCATGGTTCTCTGGCAGGAAGCTCAAGGCCCTCATGTCTCTAGTCAGAATTAGTCACCCCAGGGTGCCAGGCGAGGTAGTGGACAATGCTGGGGGCTCAGGGACATATTAGAGCTCTGGCCCCTAAGGCATCCCCACCCCCAGCTTGATGGGGAAGAGAAATACACAGTTACCATGTAGATCAAGGGTTCCCTTGATCCAGCTAGGATGACCCTCAGCCACTCTCTCATTCCCACAATGCCCCTTTCCTCTAGGTCCCCTCAGCCCCCTGCCTTGAACCATGTCCTTCCTGATCCTGGATCCCTGCCCTGCTTTCACCTCCACCGTGTTTCCAGAGACACCTTTCTCAAAAGTGTGTGGAGACCTCAAATTGGCACCAGTGCCCTTGCTCATCCCTGTGCCTCTGTGCTCAGCCCTGGGGCTTGGTGATGCTTGAAGCAGAGATTTCTGGCCCTTTCACTGCAGCCCCTCCTCCACACCCCCAGTCTCTGGTCAGACTGGATTCCTCTCCTTCTCAGAACAGCTGCATTTTCCTACCTTGGGGTACCTTTGTTCTCCATGTTGCCTCTTCCCGGATGTCCTCCTCCACCCAGTTCTGCTCCCTTGCATAACTCCAGGGGAACATATTCACGAAGGTTCCTGTCATCAGTGTCCTCTGCAGTATAACCCAAGAAAGCAGCGCCCCTTCCCTGTCAAGCCTCCTCCTCAGAACCCCACCTCCACTCTGGTCTGAGTTTTCTCTCCCCTTGGTTCCACGAGACTTTGCACTCACCCATGACTGCTCTGTGTGTCTTCACGAGTAAACACCCATTTGCTGGGCTGATGTTCCCAGGGTCTGGCTCGTGGTTTGCTCTTGGTGACCCCCCCACCCAGTTCTGGCCAAGCAGGTCAGCCCTAGCAGGAATGAAGCTCACTGGCCAAAATTTTTATGTTTGGGGGCAGGGGGCTACACGACACAGGTTTCCTTCTCTTTGGCCAAAAGGGAATCACTTCCAAGACCCCCTCCTCTGGCAGGGTTGGGAAGCCAGTGGTAATGGTGAGTGACAGGGAGGGTGACTGATGAACTCAGGAGTCCTGGCCCCCCAGCTCTTCATTCCTGGAAAATGACCTCATCAGGTCAATACTGAGACTACTGGTGAGGCAAATGCATGGGCAATGAGAATCTTAATAGTAGTGATCAGACCAGCAAAGCAGGTGATAAGATACAACAACAGTAATCAAGGTGGGGCTGCTCTGACTTTCCTAGGACTTCATTCTCACCTTCGTCCTTCCTGAGGGTCCTCACCCGTCTGCCCAACCAAGCCTAGAATAAGGGAGCCCAGGGGTGGGCTCCCGAACCTGGTCTTCAGGTCCCAAACCTTGGCCCCCTGCTCTGGGTGCTTCCAGGTGTTGGTGAGCTATGACTCAGAGTCTGTTTCCCGGCTGACCTCAGCATGCGGCTGGTTGCAGGGGGAGAGGGCAGTTTCTTATGAAATTGTGACTCAGGGGCCCAGGGCTGGGGAGTTAAAGTGTCTTTGTTGGACTGGGCTCAGGAATCCAGAGAAACTAGTCAGAGAAAGGCCCCAGGGACTGAAACCCCTCCCTCTATCTCCGCCCACTCCACAGAGCTATATAACCGCCCCAAGCTCTAGCTTGAGCTCAAGCGGCAGCTGTCGGCGGGAAGGAACTGGCCTGGTCACACTCACTGGGCTTGTGCTTCTGACTCTTGGGAGACACTCCTCGGCTGCTCCACCTGCCTTTGCCCTCGGACCCGCAGCGAAAGGCCTCCCTGTGGACACTGAGCGTCCATCCTCAGCACTTGGATTTCTACAGCGCCCTGGGCCAGATTCCCAAAGACTTTCAGGTCCTAGACTCCAGCAGACGCTGAACAATGGCCTCCATGGGGTTACAGGTGATGGGCATCGCGCTGGCCGTGCTGGGCTGGCTGGGCGCCATACTGAGCTGTGCGCTGCCCATGTGGAAGGTGACGGCCTTCATCGGCAGCAACATCGTCACATCGCAGACCATCTGGGAGGGCCTGTGGATGAACTGCGTGGTGCAGAGCACCGGCCAGATGCAGTGCAAGGTGTACGATTCTATGCTGGCGCTGCCGCAGGACCTGCAGGCGGCCCGCGCCCTCATCGTGGTCTGCATCGTCCTGGCCGTGCTGGGCGTGCTGCTGTCCGTGGTGGGTGGCAAGTGCACCAACTGCGTGGAGGATGAGAGCACCAAAGCCAAGGTCATGATTGTGGCGGGAGTGGTGTTTCTTCTGGCCGGCCTGCTGGTGATGGTGCCCGTGTCCTGGACGGCCAACACCATCATCCGCGATTTCTACAATCCGCTGGTGGCCTCCGGCCAGAAGCGGGAGATAGGTGC